CAGATTTTCCCATCTCCTCTGTGAAAGTAGATTGTTACTAAAGAGCCTCCCTGTGGGTACACCTGCTAGGTGGCTCTTCATTCCCCTCCTTAGTGTTGGGTTAGACATAGCAGATTAGGATGACGAGTTTGCTATAAATGAAAACTGTCCACAAATGGCCACCATTTGCATGTTCTTCCTTGTGGACTTTGGTGGCAGGATATTTGCCAAAGTTAGGAAAGACTGTTCTGCCCGAATCCTCAGGTTGGGAGTAGGGGCAGCTGAAAACTGCAGATGTTCCTGGATCCCCCTTCTGATTTAGCACGTTGGAATCTTTTGAAGTGAGGCTCAGATGCTAACTTTTTTTTTTTTTTTTTTTTTTTTTTGAGACAGTCTTGCTCTATCACCAGGCTGGAGTGCTCTATCACCAGGCAGGAGTGCAGTGGCACAGTCTCGGCTCACTGCAACCTCCGCCTCTCAGGTTCAAGCAATTCTTCTGACTCAGCCTACCTAGTAGCTGGGACTACAGGCATACGCCACTATGCCCAGCTAATTTTTATATTTTTAGTAGAGATGGGGTTTCACCATGTTGCTCAGTATGGTCTCGATCTCTTGACCTTATGATCCACCCACCTCAGTCTCCCAAAGTGCTGGGATTACAGGTGTCAGCCACCCTGCCTGGTCGATGCTAACGTTTTTTTAAACCTCTCCAGGTAACTCTTATGTAGCTTGGGCACTTCTGCCTCAGAAGTTTCACATTGCCATTTAGTTCCTCCCATAAATGCAGGCTCGGAAATTTTATTTCAGGGGATTACTGAGAGATAGACCATGTTACTTGGAAGGCAGAATTTACTTCATTCTCTAATGGCTAGTTCCTTCTTCCCTGCTTCCTTCTTTCTTCTGTCTCTGTCTGCCTGCCTGTCTCTCTCTGTCTCTCTCTCTCGCTTTTAGCCATACACACACATGACAAAGCCTTTAAATTTGAGTTTCTCCATGGAATTATATTTTAAAATTTATTTGATTACTATTTGAGATAGGGTCTCACTCTGTCACGTAGACTAGAGTGTGATGGTGTGATCATAGCTCACTGCAGCCTTGAATTCCTGGGCTCAAGTGATCCTCCCATTTCAGCCTTCCAAATAGCTGAGAATACAGGTATGTGGCACCACACCCAGCTAATTAAAAAAATTCTTTTTTTTTTTTTTTTTTTTTTTTTTTTTTTTTAGATATGGGGTCTTGCTATGTTGCCCGGGCTGCTCAAGGAACTCCTGGCCTCAAGAGATCCTTTCATTTCTGCCTCCCAAAGTGCTAGGATTATAGGCATGAGCCATGGTGCCTGGCCTGTTTTTTTCAATAGCAGAGGGAAAGGCATCTAGAAGGAATTTGACCTTACAGATGGGGAAATAATTCCATTCTCATTTTATAGTTAGGGAAATTGAGGCACAGAGAGTTGAATAACTTGCCCAGATGGCCTGTGTGGTAGAAGTAGGATTTGAATCCTGGTAAAGCTAGTGTTAAATCAGAAGCTCCAACCATGGTGAACACTGCCTTTTAGGAAGAAGCAACAGAGAGGCTATTCTGTCTCATACATTTTGTTCCTAAGAAAGCTTCGATCACAAGCAGAGACATCAACCCTTCATCCCCAGATAGAAACATATCTATGAAGGCTGGAGAAAGTCTACATATGAACACTCTAGATCCCTTGCAGCACTTCCTGGATGGAGTGCATGAGCAAACTGATCTTTGAAAGCAAACTGTCCGCTACAGATGGCAAAGTAGATAGTGTCTAGCCTGCAAATGCTTCTTTTGTTTCATGTCCCCGCCATGTGTTTTAGTAATGTGAATTGGTTGTCAACATCTAAAAATCAGGAGATTTTACATAAAAACCCAGCTTTTCAACACCTCTTGAAAAGTGAGCCCGGTGAGGCCTGCATGCTAAGCAGCCACCATTGGAGCAGAATGATGACAGCTTCCTTTAAACTGTGCTTTTGAAATCACCGTGGTCTCCACCACTTTGTATCGTCCTATAGCCAGCCTACTTCGTGTATATCCTCTGCCTGACCCTTGTACTCCTTTGATTTTGTGAACCTTGGCCCTGACTCATCGCACATTTCTGTAGCTTGAAACCTCACCATACTATTTCCCCGTAAATAAGTCCTGGAGTTAGCCACAAAGCAGGTGCTACTTACTGGCCCTTGTTACCGGGTGTACTAGATAGGACACATTGACTTAGAGGCAGTGCAGAGTTTGGCTAGGAACACAGCCTGCAGAACCACGCTATTCTGGTTTGTTTGTTTGTTTGTTTGTTTTGTTTTTTGAGACAGAGTCTTGCTCTGTAGCCCAGGCTGGAGTGCAGTGGTGCAATCTTGGCTCACTGCAACCTCTGCCTCCTGGGTCCTGGTTCAAGTGATTCTCCTGCCTCAGCCTCCTGAGTAGTTGGGATTACAGGTGCATGCCAGTACACCCAGCTAATTTTCATATTTTTAGTAGAGGTGAGGTTTCACTATGTTGGTCAGACTGGTCTTGAATTCTTCACCTCGTGATCTGCACGCCTTGGCCTCCCAAAGTGCTGGGATTACAGGCATGAGCCACTGTGACTGGCCACTATCCTGATTTTAAAACCTACCTTTTCTACTAACTAGCTATGAGACTTTGGGCAAGTCACTAAACCTCTCTGAGCCTCGGTTTCCTCATCTGCAAAATAGGGATAATAATACCTATCTACCTCTTTGGGTTGTTCTGATGACTCAATGAGGATTAATTCACATAAGAGCTTAGAACAGTACCTGACCTACGTCAAGGTCTACGTTAGTGTCAGCAGCTATTATTATAACCTACTTAGCTCAAACACTAATCTAGGCAGTACGTATTTTCACAAGTTCCCAGGAGTCAAGCCAAGGCTTGGCTTCATTCCCTTGGAACACTGTCTTTTGAGTTTCGTTCAAAAGTACAAAGACTTGAATTCTATTTAATAGCATCTTGAATTCTGAGGTCCTTTCCCAGTAATATTGATAATAATAGTAATAATGGTATTAATACATCATTTGTGTTTTTGTGCACCCACTGAAAAGAACAGAGACACCAACCTACGCATCCTGTGGGTCATCCAATTAACCTTTACAATAGCTTTATGACCTGGGTACTACCATTATTCCCATTTTACAGGTGAGGAAACTGGGTTTTGGGAATGTCAAACAATTGGCTGAAGGTCTCACAGTGAATAAATGGTGGCAGGCACCTGGGTCCAGGCAGTTTGATGCCAAAACTGCACTATTAGCTCCACACTCTGTGGCCCCCCTACTCACAAGTTCACAAGCACCTTACACTTTCTCTTAAGAATATAGTCAGGTGCATTCACGTATATTCTTCAACCATCTTTCTCTTTACAGGTCAACATCAAGTTTGTCATCCTGCAGGAAAGAAACTTTGAGTTTTCTTTCATGTTTGAGTGTCCTTTTCTCTTTTCTTTGGCCAAAGCCATTTAACTTTCTTTTGTGACACTAGCTGTTTGGATATCTACACAGCTGACACTGATTGTTCCTGGGTCTGTCTTGTCTGATAGGAAGTTGATCTACCATGACATCTGCTACTGTCTTGGTTGCCAAAGTTGGGTTGGCTGATCTGGAATGTCAAAAGAGGTCTCCTTTGTCAACCAAACGAAAGACGTTGACCTTCTCAGCTCAATGCGTGTAGAACTTTGGTCAAGGGTATAGGAGTAGCCATGCCGCTCTGGCAGAAAAGTGAAAAAATTTCTCAGCATTCTTATCTGTCTTACCAGGAATTACACAGCAAGACCCTGGGCTTGTCATTTCCAGGTCTGGGTTGTCTATCACATGACCTTGCCCACTGTCAAACCTCTGATGGCAAGTCTTATTGATTTGAGCGCCCATCCGAGCTGGTTAGAGAAATCACAATAAATTTGTCCCAGTCCAGAGGGATAATACATCAACAGCATCCATCTCTCTGTGAGATGAGAACTCATTGTCAATAACAAAAATATGTGGTGACTCTTCTGCTGTTAAACTAAGAACAGTTATGCTAGTCTGAGGCAAAAGAAGGTAGGATTTTATTTAGCAGATGACATGCTAGGGCAAAGCAAGTAGCAATCTTAAATATCCCATTTACTCTCCTGCATTTCCCACCCTCTTACAGTTACGTGGAATTATGTGACTGATTTCAATCAATGTGAGCCTAAGCGACATTTGTCGCTAGGCAGTAAAAAGCCCATGTGAGATTCTCCAGTCTTCCTCTCCCCCGCCTTTGCCTGGGGACACCTCATGTTCTAGATTTGAAGTTGGCAAACTACAGCCCACAGACAGATGCCTGTTTTTGTAAATAAAGTTTTATTGGAACACAGCCACGCCTGTTCATTTCTGTATTGTCTATAGCTGCTTTTGTGCTAAAATGGCAGAGCTAAGTAGCTGTGCCAGAGACCATGATCGAGACCATATGGCCTACAAGGCTTACAAGATTTTCTATCTGGCCCTTTACAGACAAAGTTTGTTGATTTCCATTCTCGATAGAGCAGCTGCAAGATGGTGGAGCTTCGTATAGCGTGGGACCCTGAGTGACTGTGTGGAGGAGAGACCTTCCACTGACCTACATGATCCACGTAATGAATCCATATTGTTGATTAAAGAAGGATCAAAACATTCTTTCTTGATAAATGACTCAGTCTGAGGTATTTCTTTATAGCCATGCAGAATGGATTAACACACTACTTTTGTGCTACAAAGACAGAGTTGAGTAGTTGGGACTTTGTCCCTATGTCCAGAGAATGTAAGGCAAAAAATATTTACTATTCAGTCATTTTCCAAGGAAGTTCACGCACTCCTGCACTAGGAGATCCACATTGTTGATGTGTCCCTCTGGACTGGGACAAATTTATTCTGAGAACAAAACATGAAAACCCTTTGGTTTGGGGTTGTGACTGGAGCATAAACTAATCTACTCTAATAGATATCAATAGGCATTTGAGAAAGGACATTCGACATGGGGAGGGATTCAGAAAGCCTACTTACTTCCTTGTGAAGTGAACTGCACAAGAAATGCCGATGATGAGAAGGCCAATGATGATGGAGGCGATGGCCACCCACTTAGCATTCCGCCCGAGCCGCCTGGCTCCTTCGTAGTCTCCGTCGTTGTAGCTGTTCAGAGACTGGGGGACACAAGGAGAGAGCTGGTGATGACAGACACCCCACAGGGAAAGGGGTGGGGGACCGCAGCTGTCCTGATGAAAAGGCTCCAAGAGCCTCTGGTGACTTTGCTCATCTCACTGACAGGCTGCTAAGCAAACAATGCAGTCATCCCCTCCTCCAGGGATCCTTCTCTAAACTCTAAGGATGAGTGAACTGCCCCCTCTGTATTTCCTGATGACTCTTGTCTTAGCATTTACATAATATTTTGTCTCTCCCACCAGCATGTAAGTGCAATGCGGGCAGGGGTCATCGTCTGTCTTTTTTCTTTTTTTTGAGACACAGTTTCACTCTGTCACCCAGGCAGAAGTGCTGTGGCACAAACTTGGCTCATTGCAACCACCGCCTCCCAGGTTCAAGCAATTCTCCTGCCTCAGCATCTTAAGTAGCTGGGATTATAGACTCCTGCCACCACGCCTGGCTAATTTTTGTATTTTTAGTAGAGATGGAGTTTCACCACATTGGCCAGGCTGGTCTCAAACTCCTGACCTCCAGTGATCCACCCACCTCAGCCTTCCAAAGTGCCGGGATTATGGGCATGAGCCACTGTGCCCAGTCGTCTGTCTTGTTCAGCACAGCATACCAGTGCCCAGCGCATTACTTAAGAAGATGCTGCATAAGTATTTGTAGCATAAAAGGACAAATGAGTATGTCTGTCTGGTTCACTTGAACAGGGGCTTGCAAATGATGGCCCATGGGCCAAATCCAGCCTGCTGCCTGGTTTTGTAAGTAAAGCTTACTTGGAACATAGTCATACTCATTTATTTACTATTGTCTGTGGCTATTTGATATAATTTTGTTGTAGGGCAGGTGAGCCCAACATTGGGGCCTAGCCTGGGAAGTTTTTTGGTTTCACTCAGGAAAGAATTTAAGAGTGAGCTGGTGGTAGAAGAAAGCAGCTTTAGGCCAGGAGCGGTGGGTCACACCTGTAATCCCAGCACTTTGGGAGGCCGAGGTGGTGGATCACCTGAGGTCAGAAGTTTGAGACCAGCCTGGCCAACATGGTGAAACTTTGTCTCTACTAAAAATAGAAAAAATTGGCTGGGTGTGGTGGCAGGCACCTGTAATTCCAGCTACTCGGAAGGCTGAGGCAGGAGAATCACTTGAACCTGGGAGGCTGAGGTTGTAGTGACATTGCACTCACTCCAGAGCCCGGGCAACAAGAGTGAAACTCCATCTCAAAAAAAAAAAAACAGCTTTATTGAGGTGGTGGCGTTACAGTCCTGGCTGGGTTACAGCTCCGTGACTGCTCCTGCAGAGCAGGACTATCCCATAGGCAGTGTGTTGAGAGCAGCAGCTCAAGGCAGTGCTACAGTTAGATTTATACTCACTTTTAACTATATGTAAATTAAGGGGCAGCTTGTTCAGAAATTTTTTGAAAAGGAGTGGCAACTTCTGGGTCGTGGCCCTGGAAATGGGTGGCAACTTCCGGGTCATTGCCCTGGAAAGGGGTGGTAACTTCAGGGTGTTGCCATCGCAGTGGTAAACTGTCATGGCACTGGTGAGCATGTCTTACAGAGAGGAGCTTTGAGTACTTCTTCCCTGTTTCAGCCAGTCTTCAGTCTGGTCTGGAGTCAAGTCCTGCCTCCTACCTCAGTTTGGATGTTTGTTTCCTCCAAATCTCATGTGGAAATGTGATCCCTAATGTTGGAGGTGGGGCGTGGTGGGAGAAGTTGGAGTCAGAGGGGCAGACCCTCATTCATGGCCTGCGACCCTCCTTGCAGTAATGAGTGAGTTCTCACTCTGTTGGTTCACATGAGAGCTGGTTGTTTAAAAGAGCCTGGCATCTTTCTCTTGCTGTCTCTGTCTTGCCATATGACACAATATTTTCCCCCTTGCTTTCCATGATGAGTAAAGGCTTCCTGAGTCCTCATAGGAAGAAGATGCTGGTGCTGTGTGTGTATAGCCTGCAGAACCATGAGCCAAACAAACCTCCTTTCTTTATAAATCATTCAGTTTGAGACATTTCGTTACAGCAGTGAAAAATGGACTGATACACTACTTTTGTGTTACAAAGACAGAGTTGAGTAGTTGGGACTTTGTCTCTCTGTCTAGAGAATGTAGGGCCTGCAGGGACAAAAATATTTAGTATTTGGTCATTTCCCAAAGAACTTCACCCACTCCTGCACTAGAAGATCAATTCATGAGGTCAGGGACTTTGGCTGAATTATTCATCTCCATGCCCAAGCCAAGGCTGTCATTCCCAGCTGTTAGAATGTTGAAATACTTTGTACCTGCTGATAAACAGCAGCTACTCTGAAGCTTGGCCCACTTCCCCAATATCGCAGCCATCCTGCTTGCTCTTCTGTATTTCCCCAGGTTTCCCCATGATCCAGCAACGTAAGGGTTATTACTGGGCTCAGCAGTAATAACCCTGATTCTGTGATTCTCTAATTCTGTGCTCATGCCAAACTTGTTAAATATTTAAATATCATCCTTGTTGCTAGTACTCAGAGCGGTGTCTGGCACATTGAGCTCAAGAAATATGTTATTGACTCAATGAGTGAATGAATGTGTCTGTTTCCCTACAGAATGTGAATTTTTTGAGGGCATCTTTGAGTTCTGTAGGACCTAACACAGTGCCAGGCAAAGAAGAGGTATTCAGAGACTGCTTGCTTCTGAGATGAAAGCTAGATACTGTTCTCCCTTTAATAATAAGCCCTCTTGACCAATTGACATCATGTGCCTTCTGATAAAATGCCTGGCAAGGACATTTTATCCATGTAGTTTTCTTTTCTATTTTTTTCTGAGACAGAGTCTTGCTCTGTCACCCAGGCTGGAGTGCTGTGGCATGATCTCAGCTCATTGTAATCTCTGCCTCCTGGGTTCAAGCCATTCTCCTGCCTCAGCCTCCCGAGTAGCTGATACTATGTGTCACCACACCCAGCTAATTTTTGTATTTTTAGCAGAGATGGAGTTTCACCATGTTGGCCAGGCTAGTCTCAAACTTCTGGCCTCAAGCAATCCATTCGCCTCAGCCTCCCAGAGTGATGGGATTACAGGCATGAGCCACTGCACCAGTCCTATGTAGTTTTCTCAATATATTTAACTTTTTTCCAATTAAGAGGGAATAATAGGGCAAGTTCTATTTGAATAATTTTCTGCAAGGCAAATGGCTTGAAATTATTTTTAAAAAGTCACTGTCATGAAAGACATGCACTCCCACCTACCCACCCACATCAGGAGACTCTCCTAGATTAAGGAAAACTAGATAAACCTAACAATTATATGCAATGTATGATCCTTGATCATGTCTGTGATTAACAAATAAGTCGCAATGATAGATATCATTGGGACAATTGTGGAAATTCGAAGGTAGAGTAAATGTCAGATAATAATGTCAAATTTCTTGAGTGTGATACTTGTATTTTGGTTACATAAGAGATTTTTTTTTTCTACAGAAGATACAGGCTGCATTATCTAGAACCGACATTATTGCAACATACACCCAAATTTTCAGCAAAATAAAAATGAAAATGGCAAAAAATGTTAACTAGTGATGCATAGTGGTGATTATATAGGTCATCGTGCTATCTGCTTGCTTATATTTGAGGTCTGCAATTTTTCAAAATAAAAAGAGCACACAGTTTTGAAAAATAAACTCTCTTTATCATCCCACGGCTAAGAGTCACCCAATAGTCATGCTGTAGCCCAAAGAAGACTGGAAATGTGCATTTAAAAGTTATGCATGCGAACACCTTTAGTCTAAGATACTTGGGAGGCTGAGGTGGCAGGATCACCTGGGCCCATGAGTTTGAGGCTGCAGTGAGCTATGATCATGCTACTGCCCTTCAGCCTGAGTGACAGAGTGAGACCCTGTATCAAAAAGCAAAAACAGTTATGTACTGGACTCCAGCAGTGCTGTGAATTATAGATTTCACTGAGAACCACTTCCTTGATTCTGAAATCACAGCACTTCAGTAATAATTGCTCCTCTTCCTGGACTATTAAGAGGGATTAGACGTATGCAGACAATCACAAGCCAGAGAAATACCCCAGCATACCACAGAGCTTTCTGCTTCCGGAACCTTCCATTAATTCTTGGATTGGGGCCACCTTAGTCAGCAACAGACTGGAAGACTCAGCAATGTAGAGGAACTGCTTTCAGGCCTCTTGTGTGAATGAGAGAGCGAGAACCAAAAACAACCTGAGGGATTTCCAGCAAGGTGAGTTCCTGAATTCCAAGTCATGAATTCTGGGAGTTCGCCATCTTGGGTGTTCATTAGAACCACCTGGGTCATTAAAAAAAAAAAAAATACAGAGAAGCAGGCCCTACCCTGGAGAGATTCTGATTTAACTGGTGTGTGGACCAGGCCGCATGTGTTTTGTGTGTGTGACTTTTTCGTTGTGATAAGATATACCTACAAGTTATGCTTTTAAGCATTTTTACGTACATTGTTCAGTAGCATTAGGTATATTCATGTTGTATAACCATGACCACCATCTATCTCTGGAATTTTCATCTTCCCCAATGGAAACTCAATACCTGTTAAATACTCACTCCCATTCACTCTCTCCCTAGCCCTGGACAACCACAGTTCTTTCTGACTCTATAAATTTGACTATTTTGGGTATCTCACCCAAGTGAAAGTATGTAGTATTTGTTTTCTGGGGGGATTGGATTCTTTTACTTGGACATAATAATGTCTTCAAAGTTCATCCATGTTATAGCATGTATCAGAATTTTTTCCCCTTTTAAGGATGAACAATACTCCATTGCAGGGATATATACAATACTCCATTGCAGGGAAATATACAATACTCCGTTGTAGGGATATATACAATATTCCATTGCAGGGTTATATACAATACTCCATTGTAGGGATATATACAATATTCCATTGCAGGGATATATACCATACTCCATTGCAGGGATAGATTGCATTTTGTTTATCTCTTCAGTTGTTGAGAGACACATGGTTTGCTCCTGCATTGCTATTATTATTAATTTTTTTTTTTGAGA